AATGATGGTTTGCTCTTCCTGTAAGCTGAAGTTTCCTCTCTTAATATCAGGCCTCAAATAGTTTGCCCATCTTAATCTGCAACTTTTCCCACATCTTTGGAGCCCTACATGCCACATGACCAACAAAAACTGAATTTTATGTTTTTTTGGAAAAATGTGTGAACGAGAGAAAAAACTCTCGCACTCATTTTCTCCATTGACAAGTGTTTGTAACTCTCGTGTTAAGGGTGAATAACTATAATCTCGTGTGTATGGATTCCACATACGTAACAAGTATTTGATTACATATTTGAAGCTTATCTTATATATATTTTAGACATATTGTATGCATTTAACGTAATAGATATATGTAATTACCAGCTTTCGCTGGGAGAGATCTCCAACTTCCATGGCCATGTTCTTCAATATAAACCAAAAGCATTTGGTCTTCCTCTGCTGTCCATGGTCCTTTTTTCAAGCCTACTTTCTCACAGCAAGGAGACCTGCCCATTTCAAAGTAATCTTCAAGTGTAGAAGAAGAAAAAAAGAATTGATATCACAAAGAAAAACCCTACAAAGAGAAGGTAGAGTGAGATGTGTGAAACCTATATGATATATAAGGACAGAGAAGCTAATATGATCCGTTGGTGTGACCTCATAATCGGTCCCATTTCAATTCGTATTTTTGAGTTGTTGGCAAATAATAATTTTACCGTCCTATAATTTAATATAATCTTTTGCGGTGAATAAACGGTTGAGTAGAATACCGACTTCTTCAAAATGAACGGAATAAAACGATAATGGTCGATGCAAAAGTTCGACTCTTTCCCCTTAAGACGATAATACCCCGCACTGGTGCTGAAAGTCTTCCGGCACTCGTTTCTCAAGATGTAACGATCTCGACTTGTAATAGTAGCACTCCAAATTATAAGACTCGACGAACCTATTAATATTTTTTATATCTCTAAAACTGGAGGACTAAAATGCTCAAAAATAATATTCGGGACTAAAATGCACAATATAAAATAATGCAGCATGGAAGGATTATATTTTGCAAGAGAGAAAATTAGGAAAGACTTTGGAATGAATAAAATCCGATGTATGGGAACCTTTATATAGAAGTTGAACAGTTGTATCCAAAAGACACAACCGCCGAAAAGTTGTATCTTAAAAATACACAACTTGTTTGGACAGACAGTTTAACAGTTAATTGCCAATTTTTAAAAGATGCCACGCATCGCGTACAGAATTTGGGGAACAATAAATAATATAAATAAATATATTTTTATTTTAAATAATAATAAAATATTATAATTCAAATATTATTTTACAAAAAAATATTTACCAACTTGACCTAAGCCCACAACCCAAGACCCGTGACCTGTGCTCGTGTCGTGCAGAGCTGAGCTGAGCCGATCGATCTGTCGAACAGACGATAGAGACAGTGCGCGCATGTGAATTTTGGCTCAACTTATTAGCATGTAGGTCCTCTCCCCTTCGAAAACTATTGGTACCCCTTAGAGTCCAAACTCAAGTCTCAAACTTGAGTAATATAAAGTGAATTATATTCTTCTAGTTTTCCTATGTGAAATTGTTATTTTTCAAATTTCACCAATTTTTATTCACAATTTATTTCAACTTCAAATAAAAAAATAAATACATTACATTAATTTACTTATGGAGTAGAACACACTCAACCAAAGAAATCTTTTGTCCAACTAATAGGGCCCACTAAAATAATTGGTCAAAAGTTGGTCAAACCAACTAATTAAAACCAATTTTCCAACTTGAATCACCGTTCGAATATGTAATAGGTAAACTCTGCTCCATGTGCAGTAGCCCGCAAACCACACATGAGAGGTAAACCGTACTAGGCAAGCCCGGTGCGACGGACTCGACCGAAAAAGTGTTAGCAGGGGATTCGAATTCGTGACCTTTGGACAATGGATTGAGAGATATCCATATGAATAATATTTCCTTCATTCCATAAAGATATATTTGCTTCCATTTTTACACAAATTAAAAAAAAGTGTAATTACTATAGTTGAAAGTACAAATTTAATTTACATTTTTTTAATACACACATATATCAATTAATGATTTTAATAGTAGTAATTCTTATTTATTGATAACAAGAAAGTTGTATAGAAAATAAAAATAATAATTATAAAGGAAAGAGAGATATAATTTAGAAGCTAGAAGATTGATGAAGATAAACTTATTTCACCACAATTGATTAAATCTGATACGTGTACAGCATAGCACAAATGTTCTATTTATACACAAGAGTAATTACATACAATACACTTAACCTATACGAAGCACATCATTGATGGTATCCCTTAAATCATGGACGGTTAGTATTACGCAGTAGAAGATGTTGAAGGAGCTGTACTACCATATTCGATTTCCTTCAGAATCTGGTAATGTAAAGTCGTGATTTTCTTGCATTACGTTTTTATCTTCATTTTTGGTAAGTGCTTCTTTATCCCTTAACTTCTTGATTTGTGCAGTTTGGTCCTCAATGTTACCTCTTCTAACAGCCCCCTTCAAGCTGGAGATGATTTCTACAACTCCAAGCTTGCTTCGTAGATACAGATGCCTCGAATTGAATAATGGTTTAGTTAGAATGTCTGCTACTTGGTCTGCTGTTGGAATATAGTTGATGATAAGTTGTTTGGCAAAAACGTTTTCACGAACAAAGTGTACGTCAAGTTCAATGTGCTTGGTTCTAGCATGGTATACCGGATTGGATGCTAAAGCACTTGTTCCTAAATTATCACACAAAATTCTGGGCACTTGTGTCTGAGTGATGCAAAGTTCTTGTAGTAGTGACTGAATCCAAACAATTTCTGCAGTGGTATGAGCTAGAGTTCTATATTCCGCCTCAGTGCTAGATCTTGCCACAACTTGCTGTTTCTTAGAACACCAGGAGATTAGATTGCCACCAAGATATACACAATAACCCACAGTCGATTTTCTGTCATCTGGGCATGAAGCCCAGTCCGCATCACCATAAGCAACAATGTTAAGATCTTGTGCCTCTTGAATTATTAACCTCATCTCAAGTGTCCCTTTAATGTATCTAAACAGTCGTTTTAGGAGATTCCAATGTGCATCAGTTGGACATTGAAGAAACTGACTGATTCTATTCACTACAAAGGTAATATCTGGCCTGGTTTGTGTTAGGTATTGGAGAGCTCCCACAGCACTTCTGAATCGAGTTGGATTCTCTAGACTCTGTCCTTCTGTTTTGGCAACTAATTTCCCAGCTGCCATTGGTGTAAGGCTAGGTTTTAAGTTTTCGAATCCAAATTTCTTTAGCGTGTCAATAGGTGACATGTGTAACCCAATCTCATCTCTGAAAAATTCAATCTCTAAGAATTTCTTCAGGCTGCCAATATCTTTCAAGGCAAAGGTTGTATTTAACCTTTCAATTAGCTTTTGTATCTTTGTACCACAACTTCCCGTTATTATGATATCATCCACGTAGATTAGTAGGTAGATCATAGACTCTTGTTTCACCTAGTAGTATACTGAATTATCAACTTTTGACTGCAAAAGATCCCACTTCAGCAGAGTTTCTTTCAAAGTTTCCTGCCAAGCTCTTGGAGCTTGTTTGAGTCCGTAGAGAGCTTTGTTGAGTTTGCATATAAAGTGTGGTTTATCTTAATCAACAAAGCCTTGAGGCTGTTCCATAAACACCGTCTCTTCTAATTTCCCATTAAGGAAGGCATTGTTGATGTCAACTTGCCTTACTTCCCAACCTTTTGCAACGGCTAATGTGAGAATAATTTTCAGAGTAGGTGCCTTAGCAACTGAACTAAAAGTCTCATAGTAGTCGATACCTGATGTTTGTAGAAATCCTTTTGCCACTAACCTGGCTTTATGACTTTGGACTCTTCCATCAGTGTCACGTTTCAACTTATAAACCCACTTGCAGCCAATCACTTTCATTTTGGGATCTACAGGTACCAGCACCCAAGTATTATTTCTGATCAAAGCTTCATATTCATCCTTCATCGCCTTGCACCATTTTTCACTCTTCAGAGCTTCATTGACACTGACTGGCTCTATTTCATCGATTGAGCTTGTCACAACATCAGCAAAAATCTTAGGTTTAAAGATTCCTGATTTAGATCTGGTCACCATAGGATGTTCTGTAATTAGTTCCTCTTCTGGCATATCAGGCTCACCCCTCAATTCTCTTTCCAGTTCTGAGAGTTCAGGCTGCTCATCAGCATGTATGTTGTTTGGCTTAGTTTCTTGCATTTGCTCAATATCAGTCCTGTTACCATTTACCATTACTCTTTCATCCTCATTTTCAGCAAGAGGCCGTTGTGCAGGGTCTTCTGTAAAGTGTATTATATCAGTAGGTTCTGGAAATTTTGGTGAGAGCTTGACTCAGTTGTGTTTGTGGATAGTTTGTGAGATGGTAGTTCAAAAGGTAGATAATGATGAGTCGTAGGAAAATATTTGTCTTGGGATATTTTGTTAAGGAAACCCTTTTGGAATGGAAATGAATTTTCATCAAAGATAACATGCCTTGAGACGTAAATTCTACAACTAGGACTTAAACAATTGAATCCTTTGTGAGATATACTAGGTCCTAAATAAACACATTTCTGAGAATGAAAATCAAATTTGTGCTTTTGGTATGGTCTTAAGCATGGGTAACATGAGCATCCAAAAATCAGAGTAGCTGATGGTCAATACGGTGTTTGAATAGAGACTTATATGGTGATTTATGTTGGAGAATTGGACTAGGCATCCTATTGATCAGATATGTTGCAGTTAAGAAAGCTTCCCACCAATAATAAAGAGGCATATGTGCTTGGGATAAGAGGGTTAAACCAGTCTCAGTTACATGTCTATATTTTCTCTCGGCCCTACCATTTTGTGTTGATGTATGTGGGCAAGAGTATCTTAGTTCAATCCCAGAATCAACAGCTATCTTACCTAGACTTTTATATTCTCCCCCCCATGTCTAATTGAATGGTTTTAATCTTTATTTCGAATTGATTTTCAACAAGTTTCTTAAAAAGTGTAAAGTAGTGAAGAACTTCAGATTTGTGTTTTAAGGGATAAATCCAGGTATACCTAGTACAATCATCTACAAATAAGACATAGTATTTAAAGCCTGAGGTAGAATTAATGGGGGCTAGTCCCCAAACGTCTGTGTGAATCAGATCAAGTGGCATTTTAGCATGAGATGATGATAGTTTGAATGGTAAGGCATGCGATTTTCCTAACTGGCAGGCTTCACAGAATGGAATTTTTTTATTACTGATAGACTCAAATTTATTACAAGATTTCAGAAAACGAAGTAGCACAGAATAGGTAGATGTCCTAATCTTCTGTGCCAGGTTTCAATCTGTAAATCTAAGTTGTTATCTCTAGTAAATTTAGCAGGTTCAGATAGGCTTGTGATGAAGATGAGCTGAGATTTGTTTGGACGATGATTGACAGACTTAGTTTTTGGAATTCTTGTGCCATGATCAGGTAGGTTCAGCTGATATAATCCTCATTTAAGCTTCCCCTGCACCAGAGCCTTCTTGGTTGATAGGTCCTTCACAACACAATTGTTAGGATAAAACTCAACCGAGACATTATTGTCAGAGGTTAATTTGGAAACACTTATAAGGTTTTTCTTTATTTTAGGCACGTGCATAAGTTTTTTTAAAATAAGTGCCTTCCCAGTTTCAATATCAAACATTTTTTAGCCAATATGAGAATTTTGCAAAGTAGTGCCATTACCTACAACCATTTTTTCTTTACCTCCATATTCTTTGGCATCAACAACATTTTCTTTATCAGTAGTGACATGATGGTTGGCTCCAGAGTCAGCATACCAGGCTTGATCCTGAGCTGAACTTGAGTTAGTAATGTAGGCAAATGGATGAGAGCTGGAGATCTGATCGCCGGGCCTTTTTCCCATGTATTTCTCATCAAACCGATTGTAGCACCACGCAGCAGTGTGATTACTCAGACCACAGATCTAACATGGATTTCTGGTTTCGTTTGATCTTCCAAACCTGGCTCTCCCCCTTGCTCTTCCTCTAAAATTTTGGTTCCTAACAACTTTGTTTTCTCTCCCATTATAAGGATTTACATTACTTCGACTCCCTTGAGTAAGATTAATTGAGCTAAAGCTAGTTCTGATTTGATTAAGATATTCCAGTCTGCTTTCAAAGGTCATAAGTATAGAGGATAACTCATGCCAAGAAATGTGTTCCTTGCTCTTGACTTGCACCACAATTGGAGTGTACACCTCATCAAGCCCAGCTAGGACTTGAGTGACTAAATCAGTATGCTCAATCTTCTTTTCAGCAATTTCTAGATTATCAGCAAGTTGTTTGACAGTGCTGAGATATTGATCCATAGACATAGATCATTTCCTCATTCTTTGCAATTCAGAGGTAAGAAAGGTCACTTTGGAATTGTTGAGAATCCCATAGTTTTCATTTATGGCTTTCCAAAGCTCATTTGAGCTATTACATCCCATTACTCGCATTACGATTTCAGAGGTCATTGAGGAATACAACCACCCCATTAGTAGTTGGTCAATGGACAACCACCTAGAATACTCAGGGTTAGGGGATGACCTAACCATAATACCAGTCTCAATTGTGATTTGAGTATCAATAGTCTGGTGGGGAATTTCATTGGTGCCTAGCAGGTCTCCTTCCAGGCCATGGCCCCTTACAATTGGCATTATAACATTTTTTCAAAGGAGAAACTTATCTCTGTCTAGCTTCACCGAAGCTGCTTGTGTCAAATTCATCCCAAAGGGGCTAAAATTGTTCCCAAGAGCTGGGACTTGGTTCCCTGGGCTGAGATTTGTGGTATCTGGATTTGTGGAGCTAGAATCTGAGGTTGGGGGTAATATATTTGCCATGAATTTGGCTCTGATACCAAGATAGAATTTAGAAGCTAGAAGATTGATGAAGATAAACTTATTTCACCACAATTGATTAAATCTGATACGTGTACAGCAGAGCACAAATGTTCTATTTATACACAAGAGTAATTACATACAATACACTCAGCCTATACGAAGCACGCCATTGATGGTATCCCTTAAATCATGGACGGTTAGTATTGCGCAGTAGAAGACGTTGAAGGAGCTGTACTACTATATTCGATTTCCTTCAAAATCTGGTAATGTAAAGTCGTGATTTTCTTGCATTACGTTTTTATCTTCATTTTTGGCAAGTTCTTCTTTATCCCTTAACTTCTTGATTTGTGCAGTTTGGTCCTCAATGTTACCTATTCTAACAGAGACATGTGCCACTATATAATTTGATCAAATCAGGAAGTAATATTGATTTACAATTAAAGAGTAATTATTAATCAAAGTAATTAATGCACGATTATATTATATAATTTGGACATTTACGTACGTACAAACCATCATTTTTCTATATAAAGCAAGAAAATATTCAATTTTTTTTTTCTCTCGTTAGGGCTACTTGTAATGATATGGAAATAAGTGTTGTGTACACTTACAAAAGGGTCGTCCTTGCACGAAAGATGAACGTGTGCTAAAATATTCTAAATACTACAAATTATGGTCTATTTCAGCATCATTTTTTTTTTTTTTTGTAAAATGCATTTTGGAATAGTAGATTGATAAAAAAATATGTGATTAAAAAATAAGGAAAAATTTTGAATTTGTCGTGTAATATTATTTTATTGAAGAATGTATGATTGAAAAGAAAAAAAAAAGAGAAAAATGTATTTTGAAAAAAATGGAAATCAAACAAAGACTTAATTTGCTCCCGAAGTTGGCTTCGTCTATTTGATTCTTGAAAGCAGTACGAAACTTTGTTTCAAACACAAAATATAATAATGAAAAATAATAAATAGAGAAAAAAAGTTACATAATTTTTTTTCTCAATTGTCAGTAGGGGATAGGGACCTCACTAGCTCCCACCTCCCTCTACCACTACCTAAAAGGGGTATGAGATTAAAATCGGATATTTAGTAAATTTTGATAAAAATATACGAAATAAGTAGTTAAAATTAATTGTTAACTTTGATTTAGATTAAGATTTGAATTTTAATCCCTACCAAATAGGGGCTAAAAATGAAAATCTTCAATCAGATTCTCACGATATTTTTGTTGAAATGGTAATCATTAAGTCCATCGTTTTCAATCAAAAGGTAGGATTCCATGCCAAAATCTGATGAAATATCGCTTACATACACAAATTGATTTTATATGCGTACACATTTATGAGCACCGATTTTCGTCCTCCAAAGATGAAACACATTTACGTTGTTCTATGGTACACGTAAATCAAAACACCATCTAGACAAGAAATAATATCAATTCATTTCCTTAACTAGAAACTATATCATNTAACTAGAAACTTTTTCATAATTATGACAATATTTAATGTAATATTAAGAATTCGTTGGATATTTAATGTCAATAAATTACATAATAATGTGTAATAAAAAAAAAAAAAAAAACACTACAATCATTGGCACGGTAAAACTTTGGTCTTACAAATTGAGTTATACTTTAATCTACATTTCATAAGTTGCAATAATCATATCAAACCTCCACTTCGGATCATTCAGAATTTGAAATCAGACTTTAGACTTAGTGATATTATAGTTGTCTTAAGAGATGCTCCTCTTGTCTTTAGTTGAGAAACGGGAACGAGTTGATTGCATATCGTTATTTGTAAACGGTTGTGCTATATATACATAATGAATTCACATAATAGTTTACATACACATAATGTAGTGAGATACGATTGGGTTAGAATTTCTTTAAAAAAAAAAAAAAATACTCTTCACTCTCTTTTTGATACTTTATCTGTATATAAACCATTATATAATTCCTTATGTACAAGTAGTATTATTCAATTTATAATGCATTATGTGAATAGAGATTTACCATAATAAAATTCTGTTTACTTTAAAAAATGAAAATTATTTGCCACTATATAATTTGATCAATAAGCATCAATTTTCTTACATTTTTTAATAAACACATATATTAATTAATGATTTTAATAGTAGTAATTCTTATTTCTTGATAACAAGAAAGTTGTATAGAAAATAAAAAAATTAATTATAAAGGAAAGAGACATGTAAGTTTAATAACCATTAAACTTTCTAACATAATTTGCCACTATATAATTTGATCAAATCAGGAAGTAATATTGATTTACAATTAAAGAGTAATTATTAATCAAAGTAAATGCACGATTATATTATATAATTTGGACATTTACGTACATACAAACCATCATTTTTCTATATAAAGCAAGAAAATATTCATTTTTTTT